GTTAAAGACATGTATGTTAATGGGATTGATTGACTGTATTGTCCTTATTATGATGTATGAAGAAATATGAAGAACACATAAGTAATGGGAATCTTATGGCTTAAGGGGAAAGAGTCCTGTTGTAAATTCTTGACTACTGGCTAATTCATCCACACATGCCTGTCCCCTTTCATGATTTCATATTTGTTGACAAGCCTAGGCAATCTACTCTGGAAATGACCAAACTTGCCTCGTCATTCATGTAGTAGATTATTAGATTATTTGTTGAAAGTGGTCATGGTTCTCCACCTTGTGGCCATTTTTGTTGTAGTAAGCGTTTTCTTATTACTTCTTTTACTTAATATGTGATTGTTTATATATGGTAATCTTGGTCACGTTATCCCAGGAAGCTCTGCGAATGCGACGTGTGGGGAGAGATATTCCGCGCTGAATTGCCTGGGTTTCAGGTCGATTGTTCGGTGTTTTTTCCTATGACTACGACAGCAACGTCTGTGAGTGTATATGTTTTTTTTATTATTATTTTGATTGATTTGTGTATTTGCTGTGGTTATGATATCGGCGGATGGTGATGGTTTGTTTATTTGTAAAATAGCGTTGTTTTGGTTTGCCTCAGTATGTGAGATGGTATTAAGTTAATGTTGACGTTATTGGTACAGTATGTGTGGATTAGTGATTTACTATATTTAAGGAGATACTTTAAGTTTTTTTATTGTTTCTGTTTATTACAGTTTTACTCAGTTTTCAAGTATAGAACTTGCACAGAACCAATGTGGAGCCATCTTCACTGCGTAGCACCCATCTGGATGATGCAAAAGCTGCCATTCTGCACCAGTACACTCACCATACAGTACTTAAGGTGGTGAAGGGGCAGGAGAGAATTCACCAATTAGATATAGGGGATGATTAGGAGGCCTGATTTGATAGGGCCACAGTGGACCATTTTAGCCAGGGCATCAGGGTACCACCCCTACTCTTTCGAAGGATTCCCAGGGATCTTTTATGACCTCAGAGAGTTGGGACCTCAGTTTTGGATCTCCACTTGGATCTGTGCATGTCTGGCAGATGTGAGAGGACAATTGAACAGAGAGTATATTTTTCTTAACTAGCTTTTGGATAAACTGCTTTTGGAATGTGTTTTTTCATATTATTGCAAGAACGCCTGGGTGACAGACAGCTGACACTCACGAGACAAGCTAAAAGAAGATTGAGGTTTGAGCTAAGTGTTGTGCTCATGTTTTGGAGCACAGTACTTGTTAGAATTGAATTGAAGATAATGCAGACTGGGGGACAAAGGCGTGAGCATCAAGCACATGTAGCAGACATGGCAGGAACACCACAAAGACAGAGGTCAGGCAAAAGCATAGATGCCTCCTTAGGACTGCAGCATGCTGATCACGTGAAGTAGACATGTTTGAAAGATGCAATCTGCATAAGGCATATGTGTGTTACAAAATGCACCCCCTACCCTAACCAGTTTGATCTGGTTCAGAGGAGGTGGCGTGAACTGTGAATGTACCCCTATAAAGGCTATGTTGACCAGAAAGTCTTTGGAACATACCACGGGGGTGGCAGCTGGATGCTTGTTCCTTGAGCTCATTAATAAAGCAAAGTCACATACAAAGGCATCAGTCTGTGTTGTCATAATTTTCTACCACAGAGACATCTCATAATCGATGACAACTCATCAGCCAAAACTCAACCCCAGCAAAGCTGAACTGTTTTTCATCCCAGCTGATCCATCCCCACACCATGATTTTTTGATCTTCCTGGACAACTCTCTGATTTGTCCTTCGGTCATCGCCCATAACGTCGGAGTAACCATGGACAAGCACCTGCCCTTTTCCTCTCACTTTGATAATCTTTCCCACTCATGTCGATTTCTCCTCTTCAACTTCAGAACGGTTCACACATTTCTTTCCACACAGGCCACTCAGGTACTTGATCAATCCCTTGTCATCCCGACACTAGACTACTGCAACTCACTCCTAGCAGGTCTGCCTCTGAGCACCATTCATCCTCTGCAACTGATCCAGAATGCAACTGCCCAACTCATTTTCAATTTTCCCAAGTTATAGTAGCAGATAGTTCCCAAGTAGCAGAAACTCATCGCCATCATTAATATATCTGACGTAAACCAGTAACTGTGAACAGTTTGCAACGTCTGTAGATTCATCAAGCTGGATACTAAATATTGGAAGTGGAGCAGATTTAATTTCCTGGATTACCTGATCAAGAATATCAGCAGACATGTCATCTATTCTTCTGCAGACAGTGTCGTTAGATAAGGAAATTGCACTCAATTTCGTAACAAATTCGTCACCGATCATAACTCAAATAGTGTCTTTGGCCGCTGGCAACAGTAAATCCTCAGTAATGGTGTGAGGTTTCATAGCTCTGGCGATTCTGAGTGCCACCAAATATAAGCTTCAACAGCTGCTACGTTTTGTTTGTGGTACTTGCCACCAGTGTCAAGTCTGGCTTTTTTGAGTCCATCAGCTTTGCTTCTAAAATAGTTGGTATCCTTGCCAGCAAAGCTCGGATGCTTGCTATCAAAATGGCGTTTTAGTTTGTTCGGCTTCATAGATTCGGCTGGATTTACCATTCTCTGTGTTGTTGTTTTTTTTTAACATACCTGTTACTATCACAAGGGGGCAGTATTCACATCAACCACAGCTGAATATAAAAAGTCCGATCAGCATCCAGATTAAGTTCCCATGGTACAGATATTTTTTTTGCAGTAGTTGATAATTTTACAGTACATGATTTTACATTTACCCAGTAATTATGAGGCTAACTTAAGTGCGGTCAGTGACAAGTTATCTTCATCTTCTACCAAAGCAAATAGCCAATCGTAGTCAATATTTAAAAAAAAAAACAATCAAAGGAGCGGAGATATTGGCCACTGTTCCCGCCTCCAAAGTGTCAAAATTCATCCTATCGAGCGAGTGAGTGCTGTGCAGACGCGAGCGCAAAGATAGGGTCCAGCGAATGCGAAGGCATAGAGAGGATGGGTTTGTGTTGACGCACATGCGCCAACAGTTTTTAGACTGGTAGCATTCTTAGCCTGCGTTCTGATAATCTATCGAGTATCAGAATGTATTTACTGACTTCTAAGCACTTATGTAAGTCATTCTGCTAAGGACATCTGCCAAAATATCATAAACTATACATACATTTTTGGTACACAATGGAAACAATGTACATAGAACTACTATAAAGTGATTATTTTCTTATTCATGCTGTATTATGCATAGTTAAATGCAAAGAAAGTTAATATTAGACAATGGTGAATCAAATGTAATAAACAGAAAACCGGTATCACTGGACATACAATACTCTGTTGGGAATTTAATTTGCGTCTCCAAATAAATTTGCAGATGTTCTTCTTTGTGTTTTGTTTAGTTATCACTGTACTCATAAAAGCTGCACTAACAAAAGCCTTAAACATAGATCCACTTTAACGGCAAAACAATTCATTGGCTGAGTCCTAATTCAGGGGCTACACCCTTCAGGTGCAGTAATGCTGACACGGAAAAGTTTCATTGTCTGTGCAGCACCGAGCGAAAGTGGGCATGGTACAGGATGTGACGTTCAGTTTGATAGTGTTGGTGCAGAGATGTTAATAAGGAATAATGTTAATAAGGAATAAGTCACATATAGTTTGAAAAGTACTTTCAAAATTTTTCTTCTTGCACCCATGCAATTTACAGGGAAAAAATTTGGGATTGGTGCCTCAATTATTGCAGCCACCGTAAAAACTTCATGCAGCTCCAAAAGGGCAGACAGGACTCTTTTATGCTCTTTGCTGCAGTGGCTCTGCTGCACATGGGGCAGCACAGTGGTTATTACTGTTACTTCACATCTCTGGGATCAGGGTTCGAGCTTCCACTCTGATACTGTGTATGTGGAGTTTTCATGTTCTCCCTGTGCTGACACTGGGTTTTCTCCAGTTTCCCCCTACAGTCCAAAAACATGCTGAGGTGAACCGGAGTTGCCAAATTGTCCGTAGGTGTGACTGTGCCCTGCGATGGGTTGGTGCCCCGCGATGGGTTGGTGCCCCATCCTTGGTTATTCCCTGCTTTGCACCCAGAACTTCTGTAATAGGCTCAGGACCCCTCGGACCCCCACAACCCTGCAACATATGAGTGAGTGTGGAAAATGGATGGAAAAAAAAAAAAAAAGGTTTAATTTGAAAAGTAATTTTTATATGGTTTTAGATTACGAGTCACAAAATTGTCGAAAAATCTGAACATGTCTAAATTTTGGAAATGTTAATATCTGCATTGTTGCAGAAAAATCTCAACACCATTATTATTTATTATGTAATTTAATAATTTTTTGTATCTGTTATAAAGACTTTGGCAAATTTTTGTGAGGCTGATCTAACTTTCAACAAACTCTTATCGAATCACTTTAAATATATATTTATAAACTCCAATATCCAGAGATATTAAAAAAAAATAAAAAATTCAAAACAGATTGATCTTATTGTTTGATAGCTACTCAAAACTTTTGCAAAAAGTTCACAGGGAAGTGTCAGGGATCCGGGTGGGTTTGGAACGAGGACGTGGCATGATGCAGGCAGATATGTGGACGACCCACTTGTGGCTCAAAGGACAAATGGGGATTTATTAAACAAACAGAAAAACACAAGAAACACTACAAAATTTAATGGGGATAAACAAAGACTAATTACAAAACAGGGCAGGTAGGCAATATGCAATATCCAACACATTCAACAAATAGAGGCAGGGACTTAAATATAGAGGGGTAACAAGACTAACATGGGGCAGGTGAGATTAATGAACAAGGTTGGGAAAACAGGTCACAGGTGAAACTAATTAACTCAAAGGGACTAAACAGGGAAACTAAGAACTAACCAAGAAAACAGGAAAAACAGAATCTAACACTGGGAATAACAGACAGGTAGAAACACAAGCACAAGCACAGGCACAAAGAATTTAACCAAAACCAAATACAAATCAGAAGACACAGGAACTAGAAAAACTCATACAATGAAAAACTAGGGAACAAAATACAAAAACAGAGGAGGTGGGATTCAAACACATAACAGAGGGTTAACAGGTAGCTGCATACTCAGCTCATTGAGCCATGCAGCTGACAGGGAGCAAAGGAAACACTACAGACTGACAATGGGTAAAAGGACACAGACTGGGACAACAGGAACTGACCCTGACAGGAAGGAATCCTGGATTAAAAAAAAAATCTAATTGAATGCTTAGCAGATGCTTTTATCCAAAGAAATGCATGTTTTTGTGAAGGCCGGCTCTGGAGCAGTTGGGGTTCAGGGCCTCACTCAGGTCGCCCAATGGGGCAATAACTCTGCCACCCCCAGGATATGAAACAGCCACTTTATGATCACAGGCACAGCATCCTATCCCTGAGCCACAAGCCACCCCTCAGCCCATGCCTCCTTCAGGGCCTGTGAGAGAAAGAGAAATAGAAAAGGAAATATACATCTCCCATGCTTCAAAATAAATGGCTGAAACAGACAACATAAAACATGGTCAAATAAAACTTGCAGGATAGTGAACTAGAGGTAAACACACTGTACTGATGACATCACTGGTTCCCCCAGTCCTTGCCCTTATGTGAGGCATTGTGTTGTGATTTTAAGGTTGTTGAGGTGAGAAAAATTCTGGACCTACTTGTTCAAGATGCTGTAGGTGGATGTATCACTAAACAGCAGGCCCTATATATGAGAAGAAAAAGAATCTGTAGCAAGCAAGATTAAGCTTCCTTCATTTTCAGTCAGTTTTGGATCTTAGTCAGCTCAGGTGTTAGCAATATATAACCTTACAGTGTATATATGGTCCGAGTCAGAGGATACGGGCTGAACATCTATCAGCTGAAACAGAACAACAGCATCAATCAACATCAAAGTGTGACAGCAACATCTCATATAAATTACTTAAGAAACCATATACAGACAATGGCCACATTATTGGGTACCCCAACACAGTACCTGTTTGGTACCCCTTTTGGTCTCCAGAACCACTTAAAGGATTGGCAAGTTCATTCGGCGAGGCCTTTCTGCATGCCACTGCTTATTTTTGTATGTATACCCTACCTTTAATGGTAATTGTCCTCTGACCTGTCTCATTAACAAGGTGTTTTCTGAAACAGGTAATGCCACCGAATGGATGTATTTTATTTATTGCACTATACTCTGAAAACCCTGGACTTAAATGTAAAACTCCCACAAGGCTAGCTGTTTCTGGGATGTTGGAATCATGGCAGGTATAAAATTGTTAAGATAAGTGTTAATTTCGTTGATGAAGACTATGACGAAAATTATTCGTCAACAAATGGTAAAATGAGATCCGGAGCAGGCAGGTCCGGAGCAGGTAAGCCAGCAACTGCCCCTTTAAGGGCTTCGGGGCGTCGGACGGGGCGCCGCTTTTCCCTCCTGCTCCCTCTGTGTCCCCTCCGTCTCTCCCTCGTCCCGTTCCCTCGGCCCCTGTGTGGTTCCCTCCTGCTCCTTTCTCCCTCTCGCCTGCGGCCCCTCCGGCTGCCGCCCGTCGCCCGCCTGGGCTCCCTCGGGCTCCCTTTTGTCCCCCGTTCCTGCCTGTTTGGTCTCCCCTGTCTGCTCCTCCTCCCTTCGTCCCGCTTGTGTCTGTTACTCGTCCCTCTGTTCCTCCTCCGTTCACTCCTGGCCCCTTCATGTCGCTTGTGGGTATTTCCCCTGTGTCTCCCTTCCTGGTTTGTCTGTCGGCGTTTCCCGTTCTTTGTCAGGTCCTGTCTTTCTTTTCGTCTTTGGTCCTGTTCTGTGTCTGTCCTGTTTCCGGTGTCCCGTTGAGGTTTTGCTTTTGTTTTCCAGGTTTTGGGCCCCTCGTCTCGTCCGTCGCCTCCCCTCGGGCATGCCCGATGTGCACGCCTTTGGGGGGGGTTATGTCACGTTCAGCTCCAAATGATCCTCGTGTGTGCCACGCCCCCTCATTACCTCATGTCGATTCCTGATTGTCATCACCTGTTGCCTATTCCTTTTGCCTTGTCTCATGTATTTAGTCCGAGTCTCAGTCAGTCTTCCCCAGATTCGTCATTGTATTGTCATGTGTTGTTCCTCGTCTGCTAGTCTTGTTACTTGAATAAACCCCGTTTGTCCGTCTTTACGGCTCTGTTTGCCCGTTTTCCAGCTCGCCTGCCCGGCGATCGTGACACCCACTGCCTGAGGTTTTATTGTGGGGACCCCATCTCAGTTCAGTAAATGTTATTGGCAAAATATAAAAATAATAGAATAGTGTTGTCAAAATACCACCGTCTGATCTCTGGTTGGTATGACAATATCAAAAATTAGATACCACCCAACCCGAGTCTGAGCCACAGTCGGCTTTAGGTTGGAAAATCATGTACCGACATATGGATAAATTTCACGTTTGGTGCAAAATGTGTGGCAATGCTGGGTAAAAACACCAATAACTTCAAGTGCCTTGAAATTAATAGAAATAGATAGTTGCTTTTTATGTTATTGTGTAAAGCTGACTGCCATGAACAGAGTAGGAATAAGCACAACCCAGTTGGTTTTCACTAGTATGATACATGTTCATGTCTTTCAGAGAGGACACTTGAGTCTTCTCTATTCGAGTTATATTTCCTGGTGTTTTTTCTTGTAGGTCTCATATGAAGGAAGATGCATTATATGCAAATCCTTTGTTTGAGAATAAATTCTGTTTTTATTTATAATTCATTTAATGATAAAGTTTGTATAATTTTTGAATTACTCCAATGTTTCATATTACAACCTTTACAACAGTTAAATCTGTGTCCTTATGGAGTATGGAGTACAGGGTGAGACGACATTGCATGTCTTGAGGACCACGGTGCAAAAGAATTTCTTGGTTCTGCCTGTTGTGTATGTTCAGTTGCAGCCACATGATTCGCTGCTTGGAGGTTGTTTGCATTAGTGAGAAGGCATTCTTAATAACATGGCCACTGAGTGTACATTAGCACTAATATGGACTTTAACCCACACAAAGGGCTGAGGTACTCACTGCGCTAGGTCTGAAGTCTGCCTCCATGACGTTTTCATACGCATCACTCTACGAGACAATAGGTTTGAGACGAAAGATGAGTGACTGTAACTCTTAATTGATGTATGGACTCTTGACAGCCTTCACGTTTGGTTAATATTTTGAAGAAAAGAAAAAATAAATAAATATATATATGTGCACACAGCTCTGGAAAAAGATGAGACCACAGCAATATGCTGAGTTTCACAAATTTCACAATTTATGGGTATCTGTGCAAAATATACTTTTGATTTTTTGCGGACTGCAGCCTGGCTCTTCTCTGTTTCTCATTAATGAAGGGCTTCTTCCTCGCTATATGGGACTTCAGTCCTGCTTCTAGGAGCCTGTTACAAACTGTCCTTGCAGTGCACTTCACACCATTTAATGTTTCCCATTTTCCCAAGGTCACTTGGTGTCATGATACAATGTCGGATAACTAGAAGGTCATCTCTGGCATTAGAAAGTCGCTTCCGTTCTCTGCCTGGCTGATTTTTGGTCACTCCCAGTGCCTCCTGCTTCACCTTGTTCATCTTTACTGCAGTCTTACAAATTCTGAGTTTGGAAGCAACCTGCTGCTCAGTGTAGTCTTCTGTCAGCAGAACCAGCATTAAACCCGGATTCAAAAATGCAGATTTTTTAAAAATATGGAGTGGTCTCAATTTTTTTCCAGAGCTGTGTGTGTATATTTATATACAAATTTTTTTCTCCACTGTTTTAGAAGTCAAATGTGTATTAAATGAACATATGACTGTGTAACAAACTTAAGTGTGATTTTATTGTTTTTGGTAATTTTACAGTTTCCATTTGAGTAAAGGTAGCAATCAAGGCTGCAAGATCAGACTCACCTGGCGACAAGAAGGGGTGTCTCTCTGGATACGTCTGCATTAACAGAACATAGCTCAGGAAATCGTCAAGGAAACAAAATGTGAAACTGGTCTCCTAATGAGAACACAACCCTATAGGTGTCTTGTGGTGGCATCAGTGCTGTTCAGTTTTTATCAGTTTTTATCAAATTTAGCACCTGCATTTGTGGCTATGACCAAAAACAATGGCTGGGAAGTGACGTTACTGAAACTAGCACATACATCTTGAAGTAATATATCAGTGTCTGCTTGTTGGTGAGCTGGATCGCTACATATTATACGCAATTATAAAATACAGTTCAATGACCATGTGGGAATCAAATGTACAGAAAATGTATTGACATCCACTTAACATCTTGCATGGTGACTTATGGTTAATGCACTGAATCTCACCTCTTCTTCTGAAGAGCGATACATGCTGCCACAGCGCCGACTCCCAGGCAGAGCACAACACCGCCCACCATCACCCCAAGAAGAATGAGTGGATGAGCTGTTATATGGAAATCAACACTGTATCAGGCAAGAAACACTAAAGCTAAGGATCTCATCTGCTGCTCCCATCGTCTGACAGGAGACCCTGCACTAAGCACAGCACCAAAGTGACTCTACCCCTAAACAAGCACGGCTGCAGACCACTGATTAGGAAGGATGTCCCTGAATGAAGAGCGGAGGAGCAGCATAAAGGCCAGCAGCCATGGAAGGAGCAGACTAGCGGACCCTCCAGAGGAGAAATGCCTGAGGAGGGAAAAACCAACGACAGACGGTCGGACACCCACGGCTCATTGAGGGAGCAGCGGAGGCTCAATGGAGTGACAGAAGGGCTGCTGTGGCACTACTGATGGAAAATTTTAGTGCTGTGCAGGAAAAGACTGTCACAGTCCATCGCACCCGGCGGTGTCTGGGGCTGTGTAGCTGCAGACTGGTTAGAGTGCCCATCCTTACCCCTCTCCATCAGTGATAGTACCTGCTATCGGCACGCGATCATCGGGGCTGGAGAAATAAATGGTAATACAACAAAGCTGATTAAATACAGCACAGGTAAATTAGACAATTCAGACAATAAAGTTGCATTTTGAGTTGTTCTCCAAACTAATTAAAAATGAGAGAATATTGACATGTATATTAGAATTACCCGTATTCTACCCTTTGTGTTAATTCTTCATTAATTTTGGGATTCATTGTATAAATATTAATGATTATAAATTTTAATGGTAGGTGCGATTAATCACAGTAAAATGATTAGTTAATTTTTTCATCAATTTACAGCCACAATGTATAATGTATCCATTTAGTATTGATGTAATGATTTTCCAGAGCTACGGTTTGTTCAGACCTTGATTTTTGAGCATGGTTAATGCCTCAATTTTTTTTGTTTTATTTATTTATCTTTTGACCGGGAGGGTGAAGGTTAATATGAAGAATCTGTGAAATCTCTGTGTTATTAATCACCAACAATTTGGAACACTAAAGAGAAGTCCTTGAGCAAGGCCCTTAACCCCCAGCTCCCTGGGCGCCGCTACAGGTGGCTGCCCTTCGTGGACAGCATGCTCCACAAAGAGCAAGTTGAGGGAGGCGTAAAAAGAATTTCCCCATGAGGGACAATAAAGGATTGATTATTTCATGGCTGGTGTGATCATTCGATCATGATTGGACCAAAATAGTCACGTGACACATGCAGTTGAAATGAAGAAAATGCTTTTGTAACATTAGTAGCTAGTGCTGTAATGATTAATTAATTTACTCGATGCATCAAGCAGAAATCCTATAGATTCAACTGCATGGTAGGGCTACACGAAAAAAAAATGTGAATCTCGATATGTTTGCTTAGAATTGAGATCATGATTCTCTGTAATGATTTTTTTTCCCTTAAATTTAAATGTTTTTTTGCACTCAAACTGCAAAAGTTAACATCAAATCATGACTGTGCCAAACATATTATTGATCCAGGACCGGCTTATCAACTTCTGACAACAGAAAGGAAATGCTCAATTGCCCATTCAATTAGGGTAACCAAAACAGCCATACCAAAAGTGCCAGTGGGGTACTTGAAATGCTTTCTTTGTTGAATGTTTATGCAAATAGCCTGCCTCTGAAATGCAATACAACCATCATCCTGAGAATGGTTGCAAACTCAGAGAACAATGATAACCGAGGAAAAAATAATAATTAAAAAAAAAAAATGTGATGCATGCGTGGACAAATGAAGTGACCCAAGCTTTAACTGCTCTATGGTCGGAAGAACCAGAGATTAGGATAACATAAAAAGAAATATTTTGTATAGTATACCAGGACAATTTCTAAGTAATTTGAAATTGTGATGTTGTAATAAATATTGGAGTACAGTGGTACCTCAGAACTTGAACTTAATCCGTTCAGAACTCAGGTTCGAATCCTAAAAAGTTCGAGTTCTGATCAAATTTTCCTCATAAGAAATAATGGAAAAACAATTAATTGGTTCCCGGCCCCAAAAAATTACACCTAAATATGTTTTTTTTAGCATTTTATCACAAAATGAACAGGATAAAACAAGAAGGGCATATACTGTACTAAACATCTAAGCACATTTATCAAAACAGTAATTTGTAAAGTAAGAAAATAAATGTATTCAAAACATTTAAAAAAAAAAAACAAAAGTATCCTTCTCCGATCGTCTGCTCCTTCCGTGTGCCACGCCCCCTCATTAACTTCATGTGGAATCCCTGTGTGATCAGCTGTTTCTGGTTGTTGTCATTAGTCCTCTGTATTTCATCTGCATTTCAGTTCGTTTCCACAATCCTGTCATTGTATTGTCTGCCTGCGTTTTGCCTGCCTTACCTGTAATTAAACCCAGTATTCCCCGATACCCTGACGTCTGCGCCTTTGTCTCCGTTCCATCCCTGCTCAGCATGACAATATTATAATTAAATGTATTAATGGTTTATTATTAATATTAAAATAATGAATAAGAAATCTTTATTTTTAAATGTATTTTATTATATAATTACTGTTACTGTCTGTCATTGTCTAAATGTATTTTTACTGTCTAAATATATGTATTCAGCTAGTGT